TGCACTCACTTGTGGACAGACATGTGGACCGTCTCCAGTCTGGAGGGAGAGTGTTCACGCACAACGTGCACAACTATCTTCTTGTTTTGTTTTCGTTTTTTGAGACAGGGTTTCTCTTGTAGTTTTGGAGCCTGTCCTGGAACTAGCTCTTGTAGACCAAGCTGGTCTTGAACTCACAGAGATCTGCTTGCCTCTGCCTTCCAAGTGCTGGGATTAAAGGTGTGCGCCACCACCACCTGGCCTCATGTACACTTTTTAACTGGACATGCACTGCTATTTAATATATTAGTGGAATAGTTGAGTCCTTTGATTTTTTTTTATTGCTTTTGGACCAAAAAGTGTCATCTTTATATAGTTTTATATCCTGTTCATAGTTTCTGAAGTGGATAGTTTCTAACACTGGACAAAACTCTTTCTATATCAAAAAGGATGTTTAACTGTTGAAAGAAATTTCCAAAGTAGTTGTATCATTTTACATGTAAATATTCTGCAACCTGGTCATACCTCGATCTTGTCAGATTTTAATTTTTAACATTCTCATATATCCATAGTATTTTCTCATTATAGTTTTAATTAAATTTGCATATCCTAGTGACTAATAGTGTTCAGTATCTTAATTGTGCTTATTCACCCTCTGTCTAAATGTCTTGTTGGCCAAAGTGCCTATTAAATCTTTGGCTCATTTTTTAGAATTGAGTGGATTGCTTTCCTATAAGCATTGAGAAATTTATGTGTTTTGATATAGAGCTCTTCATCAGATATATACACTGTAAACACTGGCCCCAGTCTTGTGTCTTGCCTTTCACTTCTATCACTGTGACGTGCAAGATGGTAAAGGCAGGAAAAGGTGTTTGCATTCTGTTGTGTTTGAAGGCATATGATGTGCTGATGTGTCCATGTGACTCAAGGGAAAATGCGGATGAAGACTGATGCCAGAGGTTTGGACTGAGCAGTGGAGAACCTAGTGTTGCTCGTGGAGAATACTGCTGGGTGGGCTGGATGCTAGGCTGTGATGGGATTCCTAAGAGTTCCCAGGTCTCTGTAGTAAAGCTGCACATTCACTCACATCTGCGCGGTTTATTCCTTGCTCATAATCTGTCTCCTTACAGTTTAACAGGGAAGTCTGGAGGAGCTGTTGTCTGGTCGGAACAGTATTTTCATGGAATACAGGGAGTTTTCAGCGGCCATAACATGGGGTAGGAAGGGGGAAAATAATATCTGAAAACCACAGATGGAATTTTCCTTACCGAGGCTGACAGTGCTGTAAATTGCCACTGGATGCTGGGCACTGAAGCTGGGTCCTCTGTAACAGCAGTGAGCTCTTGAGTGTGCACTCTCCAGCCTTCTCAGTGCCACTTCACACACTGCTTCTCTCTACAACGTTGTTAGATGCCTGGGAGAACATAGTTTTCAGTTATTTATATACTTTCCATTTAAAATTCTTCCTTTTTTTATTTTATGTTTTATGTGCATTGGTGTTTAGCCCACATGTATGTCTGTGTAAAGGTGCCAGATCCTCTGGAACCAGAGTTACAGACAGTTGTGAGCTTACATGTGGGTGCTGGGAATTAAACCCTGGTCCCCTGGAAGAGTAGTCGGTATTCATAAACTCTGAGCCATCTCTCAAGGCACTATTATTTCTTTTTTAAAAATTATTATTTCTTTTTTAAAATTTTTGTATTGCTATTTATTAAGCTCTACGTTTTTCTCTGCTCCCCTCCCTGTCTCTCCCCTCCCTATTTCTTTTTTTTAAATTGTTTTTGTTGAGCTATATATTTTTCTCTGATATCCTCCTTTTCTCTCCCCTCCCCTTCTACCCTCTCCCATGGTTCCCATGCTCCCAGTTTATTCAGGAGATCTTATTCTGCTGTAGGAATTCCTATCGCCAGTAGCCTTTAAGTTACCCACCCACTTGGCCGTGGCCTCTCATACTATATATGTCAATGTAAAGCTTGCATCCAGCCTCTTTTCTGGCTGTGGGATTCGGTTGCTTTTCCCCACTCCAACAGAGGATTGTGATCTGTGAGTCTACCCCTCAATAAATAACCATTTATTACACTCAATTCTGAGCTAGTGTAGAATTTCTTTTTTAGTGTCCTTCTTCATTTTTCTCCTTTCCATGTAGATTAGATCCATGTATGTCTTTCTTAGGGTCCTCTTTGTTGTCTAGATTCTCTGGGATTGTCTAAAAACCACTTATGAGTGAGTACATGTGATAATTGTCTTTCTGGGTCTGGGTTACCTCACTCAATATAATATTTACTAGAGCCATCCAATTGCTCACAGATTTCAAAAATGTCATTTTTTTCTGCTGTGTAGTACTCCATTGTGTAAATGTACCACATTTTCCTTATTCATTCTTTGATCAAGGGGCATTTAGGTTGTTTCCAGGTTCTGGCTATGGCAAACAAAGCTGCTATGAACATAGTTGAGCACATGTCCTTGTGGAACGATTGAGCATCCTTTGGATATATACTCAAAAGTGGTCATACTGGGTCTTGAGGAAGGTTTTTTCCTAATTTTCTGAGAAATCACCACACTGACATCCAAAGGGGTTGTACCAGCTTGCAT